TGGGGCTCTGACCTCACAGCAGTGTCTGGGGCAGAATCTTTACTGCCCCTGAAGCCCCAGTGTGCATGTGTTACAGGGTGTGCTTTTAGTTTCCCTACAGGCAGCTTGTGTGAAACCAGCTCAGCTAGCCCCTCTACATTGCTGCAAGGACAGGGGGCTTTCTGTGTCCCGGGTTCTTGCCTGGTGTATCAGAAGAATCAGATCACACGTGGCCTGGGAGAATGAGCGCAAACTTTTATTGAATGGAAATAACTCTCGAGGTGGGGAAACCAGAAGGGAGATGATTTTCCCTTAGAGTTGGACTGCTCGGGCAGCTCCCACTCTCCTCTGACTGCCCAGTTAAACTCTGCCTCATCCCGCAGGTCTGTGCCCTGCCCAGGTCCTGGCCTCTGCCGGTGTGCTCTTCCGCCCGCGTGCTCCCCTCCACATCTTCTTGAAGTCCAGCTGCTCATCTTCTGCTGCTTGTGTTGTTCCTCTCCTAGTCCAGCAGCTTCTGTTCTGCCTTTGCAGGGTCTCTGGTTTTTATAGGCCCAGGATGGTGGGTGGCAGGCTAGGGTGGTCTTCGAAAATGCAACATTTGGGCAGGAAGGTAGAAGTGAAGGTAGAAGTGCCTGTCCTCACCTAGGTCCCTGGGGGTACAGCCTTAGCCAGGGAGCACGCCCTCCTCCACAGCACTTCCCTACCCCGTTCTGTATCATTTAAAGGGATCAGCTTGGCTGTGGCTCACGCCTGTAATCACAGCACTTTGGGAGGCCGAGATGGGTGAATCACAAGGTCAGGAGTTCAAGACCAGCCTGGCCAACATGGTGAAACCCCGTCTCTACTAAAAATATTTAAAAAATTAGGTGGGCATGGTACTGCATGGCTGTAATCCCAGCTACTTGGGAAACCGAGGCAGGAGAAGTGCTCGAACCGGACCGGGAGGCAGAGGTTGCAGTGAGCCGAGATCATCACGCCACTGTACTCCAGCCTGGGCTACAGAGTGACACTCTGTCTCAAATTAAAAAAAAAAAAAAAATGGGACCAGATCTTCCCTTCCCAGCACTCAACAACTAATGCTTATTGAGCACTTACTATGTGGCACTGAGTTTTTGTATTCATTACCACATTTAATCATCACAGAAATCTTTGGAATAGGCGCTATTATCAGCTTTATTTTTTCAGAGAGGAAAGAGGCATAGGAACCATGCTAGGGTCACTGAGTGGAAGCTGTAACTTGTAGGTAGGGAGAGTCAGATTGGAACAAAGCTCTGTCTCTCATCACTACCTCTGGTTCCCACAACCCTTGCCTTCCTGCAGACTCTCATTGCTCCTCACTGGAAATGTCTGCTGCAGTGTTTCCCACTGCCAAGGTGCACACCCTCAATTCCCCTCCCCTGCTCACTGCAGCTGGGAAGTCTTTTTAAGAGACACCCCAAAATGTCACTCTCCTGCTTAAAACCCTCCTAAAGTTCCCCATAGCACTTAGAAGAATATTCAAACTCCTTAGCTCAGCACATGAGCCCCTTTTTGATCAGACATCTGGAAATAAATAAAGATCCAGACAATAATCCTAATAACCTTTGGGAGGACTTTGGTGGATAGGCTGTGCAGCCCCTGAGCCTGGCTCCCTGAGTGCAGTTTCTGTTAGGTGTGCTCTGAATGAAGAGACCACCAAAACAGGCTTTGTTAAGCAACAAGGCTGTTTATTCACCCAGGTGCGGGTGGGCTGAGTCCAAAAAGAGAGTCAGTGGAGGGCGGTGGGATAGGAGTTGGTTTTATGGGTTTGGGGTAGGCAGTGGGAAGTTAGCATTCAGGGCAGTTTTTTGCAAGCTGGGGAGTGTCTCAGCGTATGGGGATGTCACAAGGTCCAAGGTCCAGTGTCACAAGGTTGGCTTATCAGTTGAGGCAGGAATGGTTGAGGCAGGAGCAATGGTGGAATGGTACGAGATCAGTTAATCAGTCACTGCAGGAGCTAGCTATTCTAATCCTTTTGTGGTCTGGCTCCAGAAGGCCATCTGGTGTATGTGTGGGTCACGGGGGTCACTGTGGTGTAGTCAGTCCGTGGTGCAGTCAGTTCAAAGAGCCTTGCAGTTTCCACTGAAACCCTGCTCCCATCTGGCAGTTGCCACTACTTACTTGCTTTCTTGGGTTCCTCTTCCTTCATTCGGGACTGCAGGTGTTAGAAATAGATTTTACTTCTGGTTCCACTATAGCTGAAGATGAATACATGGTTTTTAAAGTTTTTTTGGCTATTGTTGCCAGGAACCATAGGGCACTAGGCAAATGCTACGAGAATGTTCTTAACTATTAAATGCTCAATGTCAACTAATCTGCATTTTCATACCTTGCATGCCAAGAAATTAACTTTTGCACACTAAATTGAAGCATTCATCAATCAGCTGACAACGGAAACATCAGGCTGTCCCACAGGGCACTGCCTGCCAGCCACTGCGCAGTTTTAGCAGCAGCAGCAGCAGTTTTGTTTTCTCAGCAGCATTAGGACAATTAGCTAAGCGTTTCATTATGGGGTGTCCCTATTTTATAAAAACACATGTACAAGCAATTTCACTTTTCATTCAACAGTCCATCAGCTAATATTTATTGACTCACTGTTATATGTGGGCAGGGAGTCTGTGGTGGACAAAGTCCTTGGTAACGTCCCAATGTCTTGTGGCTATGCCAGGAGGGCTGAGGAAGACCATGGACAAACAAGTAGATATGGTCATCATCAGAAAATCCAACTGGGTGATACAATAGAGAAGTGTGTGGCCCTGCTTTAGAACAGTCAGAGGAAGGGCTTTCTAAGCAGAGACTTGACCTAGATAAGAAGGGTCCATCCAATGTAAATAATTGGAAGTATAGCATTCCAAACAAAAGCCAAGGGTCCAAGGTGAGGGGAAGCCTGGCTTCTTTGGAGACACTTAGAAGGGTGGTGGGCCTAAAGGATTTGAGTGGGAGATTAGGTGGGAGATATGAGCAAATAGATCATTAGGGTCTTGTAGGGCAATGGCTTTCAACTTATTTATTTATTTATTTATTTATTTTTGAGACAGAGTCTCTCTCTGTCGCCCAGGCTGGAGTACAATTGCACCGTCTTGGCTCATTGCAACTTCTGCCTCCCAGGTTCAAGCAATTCTCCTGCATCAGCCTCCCAAGTAGCTGGAATTACAGGTGCCCGCCACCATGCCCGGCTATTTTTTTTTTTTCTGTATTTGTAGTGGAGACAGGGTTTCACCATGTTGGCCAGACTGGTCTTGAACTCCTGACCTCGTGATCTGCCTGCCTTGGCCTCCCAAAGTGCTGGGATTACAGGCATGAACCACCACACCCAGCCCTATCAACTCTCTTAATGTGACCCCAGACTAAGAAATTCATTTTCCATCACAGTCCAGCACACACACATATCTGAGAGAGAAACTTCATGAAATAATACTTTTTTTTTTTTGAGATGGGTCTCACTCTGTCACCCAGACTGGAGTGTTGTGGCCCAATCACAACTCACTTGCAGCTTCAACTTCTGGGGCTGATCCTCCCACCTCAGCCCCTTTCCGCCTCAGTAGCTAGGACTGCGGGACCACACCACTACACCTGGATCATTTTGTATTTTTTGTAGAGACAGGGTTTCAACATTTTGCCTAGGCTGGTTTGGACGTCTGTGCTCAAGCCATCTGCCTCAGCCTCCCAAAGTGCTGGGATTACATGTGTGAAGCACTGTGCCCAGCCCTTATAAAATAATACTTATCCTTACTACACATGGTAACTTTGATATTTGCTATTTTACTTTAAAATGCTGATCTTTACCCATTACATTGGATTTGCAATCTAGTAAATGGTTTGCTTTGAAAAACTCTGTCCTAGACCTCAGTAAGGAGCTTAGATTTCTTTCTTGGTATAATTGGAAACCCTTGGAAAGTTGTAAGCAGGGGAGTAACACAGACCGTGTTTACATTTTTAATTTTTTGTTTGTTTGTTTGCTTTTTTTTTGAGGCGAGGCCTTGATCTGTCACCCAGGCTGGAGTGCAGTGGTACAACCACAGCTCACATTGTCCTCAGCCTCCTGAGTAGCTGGGACTACAGGTGGTGCCTGCCACCACGCCTAGCTAATTTTTTCTTTTTTGTGGAGATAGGGTTTTGCCATGTTTCCCAGACTGATCTCACACTTCTGGGCTCCAGAGATTCTCCCACTTTGGCCTCCCAAAGTGCTAGGATTATAGGCGTGAGCGGCTGGACCCAGCCTACATTTAAAACAATTTGCTTTGACTGCTGTCTAGAGAGCAGACTGTATGGGGGTGGGCAAGAGTAGCAGGGGGACCAGTTAGGAAGCTACTGATTTTCATCCAGGGAGAAATGATGGTGGCTTGGACTAGAGCCGGAGCAGAGGAGACTGAGAGAAGTGGAGGAATACTATGGATTTTAGAGGTAAAGCCAACACTGGATATGGGTGTGAAGAAGAGAGAGGAGGCAAGGGTGACTCCAAGGGCTTTTTGTTTGTGTGGCGTAGTCATTTGCTGAGATGGAAAACTGAGGAATATCAAATTTAGGGGAGTAGGAACATTGTTTTGGGCATTTTAAGTTTGGGATCCCCCATATCTACTGTACACTCACGCAATCATCTGAGTGTACATCATGGAGATGTCAGATACTTAATCAGCAAGGGAGTTTCGGTGAAGGATTAGGATTGGTGATAAAGCTATAAGGGGCCATTGGGCATAGAAATTATTTAGGCCAGGCATAGTGGCTCATGCCTATAATCCCAGAGCTTTGGGAGGCTGAAACGGGTGGATCATGAGATCGGAAGTTCGAGACCAGCCTGGCCAACATAATGAAACCCTGTGTCTACTAAAATGCCAAAAAAATTAGCCAGGTGAGGTGGTGCGTGCCTGTAGTCTCAGCTACTCGGGAGGCTGAGTCAGGGGAATCACTTGAACCTGGGAAGGGGAGGTTGCAGTGAGCCGAGATTGCGCCACTGCACTCCCACCTGGTGACAGAGTGAGACTCCGTCTCAAAAAAAAATTATTTAAAGACATGGGACTATAGCGGACACCAGTACTCCAAGATGGCGTCGGTCATACCATTGAAGGACAGGAAACTTCTGGACGTCAAACTAGGAGAGCTGCCAAGCTGGATCTTGATGCGGGACTTCAGCCCTAGTGGCATTGTTGGAGCATTTCGAAGAGGTTACTACCGGTACTATAACAAATATATCAACGTGAAGAAGGGGAGCATCGCGGGGCTTACCATGGTGCTGGCATGCTACGTGGTCTTCAACTACACCCTTTCCTACAAGGAGCTCAAGCACGAGCGGCGACGCAAGTACCACTGAAGAAGACAAGCTCTGCACTCCCCTCCGTGACCTTCTTGGCTTGAGCCCCTCCATAAGGAACAGTCTCGATTATTGCTGAATCCTTTCATATCCTAATGGAATTAACCTCCAAATAAAAGATGACTGGTAAAAAAAAAAAAAAAAAAGACATGGGACTAAAGGAATTTACCTAGAGAGAATGTACGGTTACAGAAGAGCAGTCGGCTCGGGACCACTTTCTGGACGACATCAATAGGTCTGTGAGAAGAGAGGACTTCCATTCTGGAAGTGATGTTTTCCGTAACAAAATGGAAAATGAAAAGCCATTAAAGATACTGAAAGTCACAAGTGGTCATCCACTGGGTTTAAGGGGGACAACTAGGTGTTCAATTCCAAAAGAAACACTCAACGTAAGAACATAAGTGAAGCGGGTGAGGCTAGGTGCGGTAGTGTGTGTCTGTTGTTCCAGGTACTCAGGATTGCTTGAGCACAGGAGTTTGAATCCAGTGTGGATGACACACTGAGATCCTTATATCTAAAAGGAAAAGAACATAAAAGTAAAATCCTGGCAGTCTAGCATCTCTACACTGTAGTCAATAATTTTACAATATTTTTAGCTTTCTGGAGATAGACCACCACTCACATTGTTTGCATGAGACTGTGTTGAACTTTTACTTTAGTGTCATCTTAATAATTCTTTTTTTTTTTTTTTTTGAGACGGAGTTTCGCTCTTGTTACCCAGGCTGGAGTGCAATGGCGCGATCTTGGCTCACCGCAACTTCCGCCTCCTGGCTTCAGGCAATTCTCCTGCCTCAGCCTCCTGAGTAGCTGGGATTACAGGCAGGCACCACCATGCCCAGCTAATTTTTTGTATTTTTAGTAGAGACAGGGTTTCACCATGTTGACCAGGATGGTCTCGATCTCTTGACCTCATGATCCACCCGCCTCGGCCTCCCAAAGTGCTGGGATTACAGGCTTGAGCCACCGTGCCCGGCCTCATCTTAATAATTCTTTACAAAAACGAGGGTCTAGTAGTTTTCCTGTGTCTCTATTTAAAGCCATGTTCGACTGGGAGCAGTGGCTCATGCCTGTAATACCAACACTTTGGTGAATCACGAGGTCAGGAGTTTGAGACCATCCTGGCCAAAATACAAAAATTAATTGGGTGTGGTGGTACGCACCTGTAGTCCCAACTACTCAGCAGGCTAAGGCAGGACAATCGCTTGAACCTGGGAGGCGGAGGTTGCAGTGAGCCAAGATTGTGCCACTGCACTCCAGCCTGGCAACAGAGCAAGACTCTGTCTTAAAAAAAGCCATGCTCGTATTCCCTCACACCTATGTTAGATGTTCTAGCTGACTTTTTTCTTCGGGCTGGAACATATCTCTTCTACCTTCCTTGGCAAGGAGCCTCCACAATTCGTCTTCTATCTCTCCCTGTCTTTCAGTCAGGTATGGGTTCAGAATGCCTTATTTGTGTAAACCATTTCAAGAAACAGAAAATTCTGGACTCTCACCTTCTTTTTCCTTCCCTCCCTCCCTTCTTTTTTTCCTTCCCTCCCTCCCTTCCTTTTTTTTTAAATTTCCTCAGGGGCAGTGGTTTTCAAATGTTAAATGAAATCTTCAGTTAAAGCCCCAAACAGGAAACAGGTAAACAATGGAATAAATGGTACCCTTTTCCCCTTTTGTAGGGACCCTAGAAGCATTTTAATGGAATCCTTGGGCTCCACGAATCACAGTGTGAGGACTAGAGCTGAAGTAGATTCATTACCTTCCTTTTTAAGGAGACTCTAGGCAAGAGCAGTCTTTAATCTCTATGAGCCAGCTATTTACCCAGAGAAGGCAAATTAAGATTATTCTCTGTGACAGCATCATGGCTAGGATTTCACCCTGGAGGAATGAATAGTGGATACTCAAAAAGCTTAATTACATTGCCTCTTTAAAGAGAATCATACTTCATCAGTTGATCAGAAAATATTATGCAGTATACGTAATAATTGAAATAATTTAATGCAAATACATAGATGTGATTTTTTTTAAAAAAAGGAAAATATAATGGAGTTTAAATAATGCTCACTTTGGAATAAGAAAACTTGGGTTCAGTCTCAGTTCTATCTCTTATCAGCTGAAAGCCTGGAGTAAGAGTGAGTAGTGTGACTTCTCTGAGCTTCAGATTCCTTATCTATTAGTTAGACATAAAATTATTTTTATAAATTTATGGTGAAGATTAATTTATGGTGACGAGTCCCTGGCGGTATTTGTTACAGTGTAGGCTCTTAACGTAAGACAAATGGTTATTATGATTACACAGTTGCCTACTTTTGAGACAGAGCTGAAAGCCTTGATCAGATATGGCCTCCAGCCCTGCAAATGCTGATGAGAGGCCTGGCTGATATTGAAATGGAGCATGACAAGTCTTTAAGGGCTAAGTGAAATGGATTTTGTAATGTATGGTTATACTTTGGATGGCTTCTCAGAAATTCAAGTCTCTCACATACCTAAGGAAATAAAAAAGCCAAAAAATGTTGGCACCTAACGGCCTAGATTCTTTTGGGTCAATATCACTTGTCCTCATTACTATTGTTTAATAGAGGTTGGGTCATGATCACAGCTCTTTAATACATTACTTCATCACTGGGACTCCTCCCTGAGTTTGCAGAGCACAAAACACAAATGATAAACATAACCAAGCACCATATTCATGCTAAAGGGTGTGCATCATTGAAATTGAGATTCACCCTATGCATTCAGTATAATGAAGGAAAGAAGGAAAGAGAAAAGCAGGAGCCCATTCAGCAGGCCTTTGGATCCGTGACGAGGTATTCAAACATTTTCCAAGTCCGTGGGAAGCTTTTGAGGGCTTTAAGGTAGGGGAGTGACACAAGCTGGTTCACATTTTCAAAAAGCACTGCTGTGGAGAGGACTGGTGGGAGGGGACTGAGAGTGGGTACAGTGGGGCAGCTGTGAGGAGGCATAGATGACAATGAATAGTGACTTGGAACTGAGAGGAATAGAGAGACGCAGGGCATATTTTGGAAACAGAGCCAATGGGACTCGCTGGTAGGTTGCAGGAAGTGAGAGAAGGGGAAGAATTCTGGCTTCTGGCTTTAGTAACTACATCAGTGGTTATCACTTTCGGAGAAAGGCTAGACTGTGATGTGATTAGGAATGGGATGAGGGGGAGTCGATCGTTTCACTTTGGAAATGTTAAGTTTGCAACATCAGTGAGACAGCCAAGCAGATACGCCAAGAAGGCATTTGGATATAGAAGAAATCTAGAACTCGGAGAAGTGGGCTAAGCTGGAACCAGAAGTTTGAGAGTCTTCAGAAAATAGTTTGTATTTGAATCCAAGGGGATAGATAAAATCATACAGGGAAAGAAGAAGAAGGGTATAGGACTCACCCCTGGGGACCCCAAAATTAAGATGATTGTAGAGAAAAAGGAACTAGCACAGGAAACCAAAAAGCCTGGCTGTGAGGAAGGAGGGGGAAAAAGATGACTACGGGGGAAAAAAGTAAGTATTAGAGGAGTGAAAGAGTCATCAACGGTGCCAAAGGCTGCTGACCTTCCTTTGTAACCCCCAAACCTCTTTATATCATAGTCAACAACATCCATGGGGCAAGGTTGATTTTGGCTACATCTCTATAGATATCTGATGGACAATTTTTTTTAACGTTTCTGAGTGTTATTTTCTCATTTGAAAAATAAAGACAATGCATGCACTTCTTAGACTTTGTAAACATTGAATTAGAAAATTTATATAGATAAACTATTCCCAGAATACTAGGCATATAATGCTCAATAAATGGCAGCTATTATTTTGAAGAAGCATTATGTTTGAAAACCAGAGGGCCCACATTCTAGTGAACATCCGACAATTAACAGTTACTTCCTTGCGTAAAAGTTGTATGTATTTTAATTTTCCCATCAGGAAAATGGGGACAATCATTTCTGTCTTGCCCTCTTTTCTCGTAGCACTGTCTGATGGATTAAACGGTGCGGTGAGTGTGAGAGGGCTCCATAAGCCATTCAGGGCAAAGAAGATATGAAGGATTTTTTGTTGTTGTTGAGACAATGTCTTGCTCTGTCACCCAGGCTGGAGTGTGGTGGTCTGATCACAGCTCTGCTTCCTGGACTCAAGTGATCCTCCCACCTCAGCCTCCTGAGTTACTGGGACTACAGCTGTGTGCCACCACGCCTGGCTAATTTTTGTATTTTTAGGTGGCCCAAGCTTACCAGGTTTCGGGGACAGCTCTGCAGCACTCTGTTTCCCTTATGTTCCTTTGGCGGGACCTACAAGAGTCAAGATGCTAATGCGAGGAGAAGCAACTGGTTCCTAAGGTGTGAGCTGTCTTCCTAGGGTACTTAATGCATCGTAGATGCTCAAGACTTAGCTTTTGATGGATTGAAAATATGTGGCCAGCATGATCCAGAGGAAATTGGGTGTCTTCTCAGCTCTCCTTGACTCTGGAAGAGGCAGGTACAATGGGAAAAGAGAAGTGGGAAAAAGGAAAACAGGAGGGAAATAGAATGATACGTGGGGGTGGAAGGAGAGAAAGTCTTGGAATTGGGAAGAGGACACGCCATCATCACAGTAAATTTGCTGGCATGAAGGATGCTGGAGTGATGGGTTGCTGAAGTGCTTCTGGACCCATCACAAAATGTTCGCAGATGAAAAAGCTAAAGTTAGATATGGGAAATGATGAATTCAGCGTTCTCTATAAAGGCTGATACTTTAGCCAACATTGGTGGTTTTCTATGGTATTTTAAACAAAAAAAAATCTTGATGTTATTCTTAACATCTCTTCCTTTGTCTCTAATGCCCAATTTAAGCAAATTCTGTTGAGCCTATTTGAAAATACATCCTGAACCTAACTATTCCTCTTTTCCTCCACCTTATCATCATCCTAGTCAGGTCACCCTCCCCTCTCCCCTGAATTAGGAAATGATCTTGTGCTTTTCTCTTGCCCTAGGTATGGTCTCTTGACACAGCAGCCAGAATGATCCTTTAAACACTTAAGATCATGTTACCTCTCTGCCCAACACATCCACTGACTTCCCACCTCACTAAGAGTAAAATTCAAAGAGCTCTCCACCACCTACGAAGCCCTGAATAAACCTGCCTCCGCCTACGTCTCTCCTTTCACGCATATGCTGATATTCCTATGACAAACGCAGAACACACCTATCTCAGGGCCTTTGTGTTTGGTGCTTCCCTCTGTCCGAAACATTCTTCCCTCAGATATTTGCATGGCTCACTTCTCACTCCTTCAGGTCTGCTCAAGGGTCAGCTTATCAGCCCACTTTCCTGATGGGCTTCTCTAAATTAGCACACACATTGCACATCCCTGTCCTCTATTCCACTTCTTTTTCCTTCTAGCATTTGTAGCCATTGTACATTTTTTTTTTTTTTTTTTTGAGATGGAGTCTCACTCTGTAGCCCAGGCTGGAGTGCAGTGGTGCAATCTCAGCTCACTGCAACATCCACCTCCCAGGTTCAAGCAATTCTCCTGACTCAGCCTCCTGAGTAGCTGGATTATAGGCGTGCACCACCACACCTGGCCAATTTTTGTATTTTTGGTAGAGACGGGGCTTCACCATGTTGGTCAGGCTAGTTTAGAGCTCCTGACCTCGTGATTTGCCCACCTTGGCCTCCCAAAGTGCTGGGATTACAAGCATGAGCCACTGCACCCAGCCACTGCCATTGTACAAACTTAGTAATATCTGTCTCTATGCACTAGAATATAAATTCTACGAGGGTGGAGATTTGCCTGTTTTCTTTTCAATCCATTATTTCTACTATCTGGCTTATATTAGGCACTGAAAAACATTTGTTCAATCAGTGAATAAATGAACCGAAACCTGATGTCTCAGAGCAAACAAATAAAGCATTAGGAATTTCAAAATGATCTGGAGATAATTCTTAATTCTGTTATTTGCTAGCTGTCTTTCAGCCACATTATCCATTTCTCCAGCCTATTACATGGGGTAATACCCAACTACATTTCTTATTAAAGGAAGCGTGGAATTGAACTGCAATGAGGGCAAGATAATTAACATTTATTGAGTGCTGTCTTTGGGCTGGACTCTTTACATAACATCATTCTCAAAATTCTCTTGTAAGGCAGGTGTCATTTTCTCCACTTAACTAGGACCAGTCTGAAAATCAGGGAGTTAAGTTAACAAAACAGTAAGTGTTAGAGTTAGGATTTTCATCCAGTGCTCTGTGGCCCTTAGACTCATGTCTAACCTTGCAGAGCTAAGCCCTCAGGAATAAAAAAAAAAAATTATTTTGTTTTTACTGTGGCATGCTTTCAACTGTTACTTGAACTGTTATTTTCAGGTTGGCATCAAGATCCAAATGTGAAAACCAGTTCTGCATATTGAGTTGTCATTGTGTGGAAGAATAAATAAAATATTTTCATTACCCATTGCAAGGGTCATAGTTGAGGCACTTATAATGAAAGATTAACAAGATAAAAGCACACAAATTTGTTTAATGTCAGTTTTATGAGATAGGGAGACCTTCAGAAATGAAGACCCCAAAGAAACAGGGAAATCTGTTTATTTTCCTGCTTAGGTTTGATGGTGCTGAAGTATGATTGGGGAGAGGGGTTAGGATCTAATAATGGTAATAAACTGGGCGGAATTTAGCAAGTGGCTGTTTGTTCAGATTCTTCTTGGCTTCTCTGTGTCTGAGGATCAGAATGTTCCTTTTTTCTGGGCATAGGGTGGGCACCACTGGAATAAAGATTTTATGACCTACTTCAGAGGAATGTTAGCTAGGTTTTATGGCCTGCTTCAGGGAAGAAAGGGTGAGGGGAGGTTGAGAATGACCTTCTTGCTTTTGGTGTTTTCTCTAATGCTAAGGTGCCATATTTTGGAGTAGCATGTCCTGAACCTCATCATCCTCAAATATTGCTAAAAGGACAACGGTGTGACAGAAAGACTTTAGCAGGTGAAACTTTCATTTCCTGTGGTTAAAGCAAGCAAAGGAAACTGCAGCAGACCCTCCTGAAAGACTGTAGCCAACCTGTAGGGTCAGCACAGCTTCCTAGGCCTCTGCCTAATCAGGAGTCATGCCTAGTTTCAAGAACACCCCGTGGGATTTGGCGGCTACTTTCACAGCTCTTCAGCTGATGTGAGGTCTGCCATTTACGACTTTGCAGGCTTCCTTTATGTGCGGCAAAATGGAGGGAGAAGTGCCAAGTCACAGCAAAATCCTGGCTTTCTTATTTCAAAGCGCCCCCTCCCACCCAGTCCTTTCTAATGCATGTTGTGGCTGCCACCCGTGGCTCACGGAATTTCATTTTTAGCTCTCTGTGTTCCAAATACATTCTCAGTGAGTGATATCTTCTACCTTTCAGGGTATCTGGGCCAGTTGTGTCCAGGTGAGTCACCTGTCCCAAAGGCACGCCAGATACTGTTAGAAAGCCCCATGAAAGTGGATCTACGTCTTATTAATCTTACTTTCATCTTGGTTGTGCTGGTGAAGAAAAATGCTTTTGTAAGAACAGTGCTTAAACAGGCAGGGTTTCCCACTTGTTTCTCAGCTCAGGTCAGGTGGCAATTCTGATCCCGTAAACTGGTTTCTTAAACCAGTGTTCTCACGATTTTCATATTTGTGGTATTTTTAGTGGCATAACTTGAAGGAATTAAAAGACTCATGTGATGACAGTAAATAAGCCAGTAAATCAGTCATTACTGATCAGTCTGAAGGACAGAAAACAGCCTTGTCTCACATTTTAATTTTCTTTTCAGTACTTGCTTGGTCTCTCAGCAACGCTGTGGCTGTTTGATAGAAATATTGACTACCCTAACTACTCTGTCTTACATACATAGAAAGAAGTAAATGCGTCTTTCTTTGGCATCTGTTTGATCTTGATGCAGTCCTTTCTGGCTCACAGCAAGTGTTGTTCTGCCCTATAGCCTCTCACACCACCCACTGAACGCACTGCCTATCTGGCAGCATTGCTGAATAGAATGTTTTTCATGCTAGCCAAAAAGTATTGGGTATGTTGCTCACAAATTAATAACACACCCACTTTTTGGAACACATATCTATGCAATATCACACTCTTTGTGAACCATCGATCTGGGCAAGTGCAGTCCAAGATTGTTTTGATTTTCTGTGTTCCATCTTGTTTTCCTCTTTTACCTATAACTGTATTTAACATCTGCTTTTGCCAAGATAGTTTTTGTGTGTGATTTTTTTTCTTTCTTTCAGGGTACCAGTCTTCCTTTCCTTTGGGTCAAATGAGATTACAAAACAATAATATCTGAGCACAGCTCTGTTCTCAGTAAAGGAATCCAGCTTAGAGAAATTGTGTCCGTCAAAAAGAGTATGAGTTTGATTCCTATACACTTAGTAATTGGGTGGTGTTAATCTAAACTCCGGTTCTTTTCTTTCCACTAAATTAGAGATCATAATGATACCTGCCTATGAAGATTAGATGCAATAATACGTGGAAGACATGTAGCACAGGCCACAGTGCTTAGTCGGTATAATTTCCTTATCTTAATGGCTCTCTCCTTTTCTGGATACCACTGTGTATCTGCTGGCACTGCTGCTGAAGGCCTTGGGTTAGGCCTAAAGAATGGGCGAGTTGAAATTGACAGCCAACCAGCAAGCAAGAGTTATGGACTAACTTTCTGAAGTGGCGGAAAGATGCACATTAACTCTGTTCTTCAAAAGATGTTTAAACATAGCTGTCTTCTCATACACCTGTATTTCAGGAATATCTCAGTAATTCCATTATATCATGATGTGAGTTTTCCTAACCCTGTACAGGATGATTGAAGAATCGAGCTGGCCATGCTTGGAATCAGGTGAGACTGTTACTCGATCTCATGGGACTTTCTTCTGAGACTATAAAGGCAACTGCTTCTCAAGTCAGTTCTTTCAGGGGAGGAAGGGTGGAGAATTTATCCGCTAGCTCCAATTTCTCATTGGTCAAATGTTTGCTTTCTAGTACATTAGTTCAATACATCTGGGTTGTGCCTACATGGGACCTAGCAAGCCTCATGTCATTTCATCTCTCAGCATTGACTGGACAAAAAGCAAAAGTGCCTAGTGTGGGCATGTGAAAATATTGTTAGGTTGCGCCTACATGAAATTAGTCAGAGTCCGACCAACATTTGTCAGTGCAGTGACTACTGGTGTTGGAACAAGTGCAGCAATGACAGAAATAGATGCAGTCAAAATATTGACATAGCCACAGGCTGCACATGATACAATCCACCCCTTGCACTACACACATCAATTCATGTGCTCCCATTATATCCAGCTGTCATAATAAACTGTGTGTGTGTGTGTGTGTGTGTGTGTGTGTGTGTGTATGTGTGTGTGTGTGTGAGTCCAGCTTTAAGTTCAGTAGGAACCTTTCTGTGTCATCTGACAAAGCATTCGGCCATCCATCTGATCCCCCCAGAACTGGAATCTTTAACCTTGTAGAACCTATGATTAGAAAGCACAGGTTCTGTGAATTTCAGAAATAATGATAAGAGAACTCAAATCTGTTTTGACCTTGTGGTTCCCAGATCCATGAATTCTTGCTATTTAGGATACAGCACCACCATGTTATTTGCCTTTTGTCAGCATGTAGTCTACAACCTAGGGGAAAGCAGAACTCTTTTTTATTTTTTTGAGAAAAGATTGATGTACTTTTTTTTTTTCTGTTTTGAGTTCCAACCCCAAAAATATTCCAGGAAAAGATAGGGGGAGGTTGGGCTTGTTCTTCTTCAATAGGCTTTTGCTGCCAAGGAAGACAGTGCACTTGCCCCACATCCAGGCTACCCCTATCCTGCTTCTTCCCTGCTTAGCCTGGGGGGGGTCTGTAGGGGTGGCAGGGGCAGCTGGAAGGGAGGGGCTGGGGCAGTGATGCTTTCGGGTGAGAAGTTGGGCTGAGGCTGGGGAACGGGGAAGAAACTGCCCATGTGCAGTTATCATTGCTCAGTGACAGAGCCTCAAAGCTTGGCCAGGGCTGAAGATACCACATGGGTGTGGGTGAGGCAGGCTAAGTGGGATGGCTGCAGCCAAGGAGTTGGGGGAGGGCAGGACTCAGGGCTGGCCCTCTCCCCTCTAACTGATGATTTGCTGAGGTCATCTGTAGCCTGTCATGCTGGCCTGCGAGGCCCCTCTCTTGCTGCCCATCTGAAGGCCAATGACATGCTCTCCCTCCTGCAGCTGGCTCTCTGTGAATTCCTTCTTATGCTCCTGCACTTTCTTCATAAACCAATTGGGATCTCCATGGTAGTGCCTGTCATTCTTGGTCACTGCCAAGCTGCCCAAAGCCATCAGGGTCCTCTGCGCTGCTGCCATATCTTTGCCTTCGAAGAGGTCAGCAGTCTGGAACATGTCAGTCTTGGCGACCCCATAGTTCTCAGCTCCCTTCAGGAACTGAGCCATCTGTTCCATCTGCTTGAAGACCATGGAGGGTGGGTTCCCAGGCACCTTCACAGGCTTGGAGCCATCAAGGTACAGGCTATTCACCAGCTTGCTCAGAATCACGCCATTCTTCAGCCAGACCTGCAAGTCCAGGCACCCATGGTCTGGGTGGCCCACATCAGGGCCACACTGCGCTATGGTCCACTCCACCAGCCACTCCTCCGTCTCCTCATTGTTCTTCTTGATTTTGGACTGCACTTCACAGGTCATGCCATAGGAAGGACCCTAGTTGGTCATGCATGGGGAGAGAGGGCTTCCTTGGGGCTTGCAGGAGGGAGTGAAGACGTGTCTGGGCTTGGACAGAGAGGACTGGGAAAGCAGAACTCTTGAGCTGTTGCCTTTGCTGAAGTTTTAACAGGGCTTTCCACTGTTCTACTGGACAGAGTTTCTTGATGAAGGTGTGCATAGAAGACCAGTGGATCATTTAGTCTTGCATCCATGTAGCCATTCCTTTGGCACAAATTGAGATTTTGTTCTGAAGTGCTTAATGGAATACAATACACAGAGATCAGATAGTCTGTAAGCCGGTAGATAGTGGTGCTGAGGGAGGTACAAGGGAAGGCAAACTAACACCATAAGTAGATTTCTATTTCAGTGAGACCAAATCACAGTCCCTTTCATGGTGGAAATGGTCCATTGTAGTAAACCTACTGCTAAACTTGGGGTTGCCTCCAGGGATGGTGCCATCTTGATGGCTCAGAATTAGTCTCTTCTCCTAGGAGACTGGACATTCACCATGACAGTAGCTGTATCAGTCTTTGTGAGAGGAAGTCCATGCTATCAGGCCAACTCAATGTCTTCACTTCTGCCACATGGCTCATTTCAGTGACAGTGGTTGCTAAAGGGGGCAATCCATAGAAAGATTCCTTCTGTCCCTTTAATTGTTGATCACTTTTCTGCATGGAATATTCTCTGAGTATTTATGTGAGATACAAGGACATAAATACTTTGTGATCAGTCCTATCCATTCATTTATATCCCTCTTTCTTAGAATTCTTTGTTCTTGATCTTCTAGTGTCATTCCTTCCAAGCCCTTCGACAATTAGCCAAGTCATTGACGACTTACTGGGAATCTACGTAGGTCTGTACCTGAAGCCACATCTCATTCCATTACAATTAAATGACCAAGTGTACTGCTAGCAGCTCTGGCCACTGAGAGAATTTCCCTTCACCACTGTCCTCTAAAGGTACCCGCTAGTGGGATTATAATAACAATTGTCCATTTTTAGTCAGCACCGACATATTATGCCACCCGTCTGTGAACCAAGCCCAAGTTCTTTCCTCTGCTGACAATTGGTTATAGAGAGCCTTCTGTAAATTAGAAGTTGGAATTTTAGAAGAGGCATTGGTGTGATGAGGGTAAGTGACTTGGGATCTGAGCTACTTGTTTATGAAATACACTTGTGCCTTCTTGAACTGCTTGGACCTGATCCCTAAGGTAGCATTTCCATGGAATAATGTGTTGTCTTGCACTTGCTCCAACTATGACACAGTGGATCACATAAGATTCAGCATATGATGGGCAGCTTTGGATACATAGTTACTGATGCCAGTACCCAGTCATTGCTTTTTTTTTTTTTTGAGATGGAGTCTCACCCTGTCCCCCAGGCTGGAGTGTAATGGCGTCATTTCGGCTCACTGCAACTTCTACCTCCTGGGTTCTAGTGATAATCCTGCCTCAGCCTCTTGAGTAGCTGGGATTACAGGCACCTGCCACTACATCTGGCTAATGTTGGGTCAGGCTGGTCTTGAACTCCTGACCTCGTGATCCACCTGCCTCGGCCCCCTGAAGTGCTGGGATTACAGGCATGAGCCACCACACCCGGCAAGGCATTTCTTTTCAAACAGAAAAGTGCTCTCTGCTACAAAAGCCATGATCTTACCCTCAAGCTCCAGGAGGCACTGTAACGACTCTTCTATTGGGGCTTGCCTGGTCCTCCACCCAGCATTCTCATCTGCTACTGTCACTTTTAGTATACAGCCTGAGTAGGAGGACAGGTGAGTCCGTAATCTCAACTTGTTGCAACGCCTCTTCTTACTCTGGATTTCGTGTAAAACCAGAGCCTTCTGAGTCACCTGATAAATGGATTGGAGCAGTGGTCCTAAGTGCAGTCTGTGCTACCTCCAAAACCCGAAGAAGCCAACGTAGTGATTGGAGGTATAACTTTTTCTTAGTGGTAGGAGGTGCAACAACTCATTCTTGTCTTAGAGATATGCTGTTCAATAAAGTAGCCACTAGCTCCATGTGGCTATATAAATGAATTTATAAATATATATATATTCGGGCCAGTGTGGTGGCTCATGCCT